ATACCACATAGCAGGCCGTACCAGAAGTCCAAAAGTTGAATAAAAAAATAAATTTGGGTTATTCATTTAATTATACATATGAGTTTATATTAAAAATAGGGGGTGCCATATAGTAATATATATGTATATAAAAAAAAATTAAAATTGTTGGGGGGGCCGTGGCACCCGTAGGTCCCCCTTGGCTCCGTCCTTGACCTCCAACATCAATAATTAATCATTAAACTAATGATTATTTTTAAAATTATAATATATACATATATAATAAATACTTAAAATATACAAGTATTTAATATTTTTAAATCATATATTTAAGACCTAAAGTTACATGTCTTTTTACAATAAATAAAAGTGATGTTATATGTACCTTAAAAGAGAATCAAAATTGTATATATATTTATTAGTATTAAATTAAAATTTACTTTAATATATTACCGAGCCTAAATATATTATATCATACTATTTTTTTGGTGCACATGAAAATAAAAAGTAAAGGAAAAAGAAACAAAACTTAAGAAATAACAAGTAAATCTTCCTATTTACGACTAGAACACTATAAAAAATAATAGATAATGTTTCATACTATAGAATTATATTATATATATATATATATATAATTTTGATTAATGTACAACTAACACATATTTATTAGAATTAAATACATAAATTTATTTTGAGCCAGACAATGTGGCTAAGATATATCTTTATGTGAGTGGATTGTTGGGTGTTGGCTGCTATTTTCTACCTCGCCCCTAAAATGAGTGGACTCTTTTATTTCGTGCTCAAGTCCGGATTGGCCGGATTGGCGGCCCAATAACTCCAATATATAATAGCCATAATTTTATATATACATAAAACGTACTTTAGGGTTACTTTAGAGGTAATTATTTCCTTCTACCAAAAAAGTTTTTTCCGTTAAAAACAACATGTTGCAATAATATATTTCTTTTTCTATTAGTAACAACTAATATATAAATAATGTAATTAATTGTGAAAGTTTTAAAAATAATTTAACTCGATTGGTTGAATGAAATGTTTAGGGTTTAGGGTTTAGGGTTTAGAGTTAAAAATAATTTAACTCCATGTGACTCTCTTTAATTAAACATTATTTTAATATTAACAAAAATTAATCTTTACAATAATTAATAATATCAAGCCGATTCTCGTATCTCAAGATAACTCAACAATCTAAAATAGAAGACTAAATAGTAATAAAAAACAATTTGAAAATATAATTTAGTAAATCCTCAAGGAATTAATTTAATGATAAAATCTTTAATAGGTTAAAGTAATAAAAATTAAAAGATAAATTTGATAATCAAAATTTTAACAGAATTTATGTAATGACACTTATAGCAAATATAAATTTAATAATTTGCTTTTAGGGATGTTTGATAGGAAAAAATTATTTTCACAACCAAAAATCATGATTCATTAAAATCATATATCCTATTCCTATAAATTTTGACTTTTAAGAATCATATTTTTTTTTTTGTTTCGTCCCTGGAGTATCCACCGCCGACAGCAGTGATTAATCTCCTCGCTACGTTGGAGGCACCTCAAAGGGTGGGATAGCTGGCCCCAAGATTTAACGCGGCTGCATACACAAGGCAGGATTCAAACCCCTGACCTTGCTTAAGCATGGATCAACCCCTATCGCTGAACCACACGCTTGGGATTTAAGAATTATATATTTTAGGAACCCCGATTCCTATAAATTATTAAAATTTATTTGATTAGTTATAAATATTTTTTCAGATATTTACGTATTAATTGAAAATCAAAGATTTTTAATGATACTATATAAACAACTAAACGTAACATTATATTTTTGTCACAATAAAAGTTTTCTTATAATTCGGAAATGGTAAGTGTCAATCTCTTATAAAAATAATTTTGTAAATATATATAAATAAAAAAAACATTTGTAAGGAGTAATTATAGTGTGTAAACTTTTTATATAACAAACACATATTAGGACGTATTTAGTAGCATGAAAAAATATGTAAAAAATAGAATAGAAAAAAGAAAAAAGAATGTAAATAGAAAGGATGAAAAGAAATATGTGAAAATAAAATAAAATTAATAAAGAAAGAATAAAATAAAAAAATAGGTGAAAAATAGAATAAAAATAAGAATTTTCAGTTAAAAAAACAAGCAAGAGAAATACAAATATAAGAAATAATTTAAAATTATTTTTAATTTAATAATTAATTAACATTTTGATTTAATTGAAAAACAATATATTGTTTTTTTTAATTGATTACATCAAAATTTTAATCCGTTAAACCAATAAAACATTCGTCTCTTGGCGAAAAATAGTTTCACAATCAATTATACATTCACTTTAACAAACTATTTTCATGTTTTTTCACTTGTTACTATAAGTTTTCTTTCCTATTTTACAGAAAAATAAAAAGATGTGAACCCGTACATTTTTTTTTTAATTTTTCCTTTACTAATTTCCTTTGTTTTTTGGTTTACTTTTTCACTTTCTTTTCTTTCTCATTTTCGCAACTAAACGGATGCTTAGATACATTTAACCAGATACTATAAATTGAAATGCCGGCTGGGCCCACCGCCCCCATTTTATTATAATCTGTTCTATGCGTGGGATCCGTCAAAATCCAGAAAGTTGATTATAATATGTAAACTCAATTTGACCCAGATCAAGTATTGTTAGGGAATAAACAAATAAAAATTAATGGAGTAGTTTGGTGAAAAGATTAACTGAGTTAGGATATTCTCACGGTAATATACCATGTTACCATTATGTTGGACTGCTAGCAATATTTTTTTATTATCACGAGAAATAGTTATTAAAATATTCTTAATGTGTCAGCAATTTTGTCCCCATCCCTGTTTTTTTATTTATTTAGTATGATACAAGTTGAGCATGTGTACATTTCTTGGATCACAGGAATTACAGTTTCCTTGTGAGTTGTGACGTAGAAATCCATAAACAAAGGTTCATGGTCAAAATAGTTGTTCATTTTAGTACAAAACTCTAGGAAAATCATCTTGTTAGGTGGGTTCATTTTCAATATCAAACGCTTAAAGAATGCACGTCTTGTTATCAATATTTAGTCATTGGTCAATCTTAGGAGTTAATATCATTCCATAAAATCTAGTCAACTGAGCCTACCTACCCATTTACAAGTTCTTAAAAGTCCATGTTACATCACCAAGAGTTATGGTATAGCCGAAAGTGTTAAGGACAACATTTTTCTTTTATGAGAAATCTTCAAAGAGAATCTCCAAGAACTGCAGCAGTGAGTTGTGACTCCATCAATCTAATGAATTCTCTCTGTCACACGGCAGTGACAAGAACTACCATGGTTTTTAGGGCAAAGACAAAAAATTCAGGACTTGGAAGCCACTTTTTGAAGTGCTTGTTTGATTCTTTTGGCGGTTGCAATACTTGCTCTTGTGAACTGCAAATGGAAGGGTACTTACTTTTAGATAAAGGGCAAGAGGGTATTTAGCTGCTTACATTAAAAACGACCATTTCAAGAAGTAGGAAAAAAACATGACCAACCCTTGGTCAGGGTAACATGCAGAACATGACTAAAACTTAAATGCAATACAATAGATGACCTCGGTTTTGTTCTTGATTCAAAATTGAAATTTCACTTCAATATGCATTATAAAATATTCCATTAAATATCAACATATATTACTAATGAAAAACTTCAATTTTAATCGAAGAATTGCACCACAATACCTATAGTCTTGAATTTAAGTTTTTGTCAAAAACTAAAAAGGCATACCAAGTGCTCACCACAGATTTAATGGTCAGATAAAGATTTCCATCAGCTTCTGTTGACTGAACTGAATTAAAATCTACATTGAAACTGTTAACTGCTTCCATAATTTCTAGCAGCTTTCCTGCTCTAGAGGGGCACTTCATTTCTATCACAATTTCATTGTCACTAGTACTCACAGTAACATCATTAGCATAACTTCCTTTTGGAACATCTGAATTAATCTCTCTTCCTGTCTCATCTACACCACTAACCTTCCTCTTTTTTGCCACTGGTTTCTTGCCATTATTGCTTTTGCTAAAATAATGATCAGAAGTCCTCTCCACCATATCTTGTGGTAATCTTCTAGTCTCAGTCTCTATATCCGTTACCCCCCTCTGAGCTTCCAACACTTTTATTCTTCTCTCAAGCTTTTTAAGGTATTCAATTGCATCATCTAGTATTGAAACTTTATCATCCTGAAAGAATTATACATTTGGCTAATTTGTGTAGTGACAATCAAGCAAACAAATGCCATGACTAAAATATATATTACCTTAGTGATTGAAGGGACCATTGACCTAAGGGTCAAAAACCTTTCGTTTAGTTTTGCTCTTCTCCTTCTCTCTGACATAACATGGTTCATGCCAATTTCATCAGCTTCTACTCTCATTCCCTCTTTGTAGTCATTCTCTTCTTGTGACTCATGCAGGCCATCCAAGTGCATTTGAGGAACTTCAAACAATACCTTCTTCAATAACTTCTGTGAGGTTCCTGTTCTAGGCCATTGACAATCCACTGGCCCTCCTTTCCTCCAACTAACAAAGCTTGATTCCTGATGAAGTTTTTGCAAATGCACTCCCATGAGTAACTGGTCAGAGCTTTTCAAAAGGGTAGAAAGAACTCTCTGATAATGCCAATCATCACTTCGAGGATCCACTACGGTCATTTTTGGGTTGTTGTACTTTTGAAGATCTCGGGCACAAGGGTCTGAAGGGTTGTTACACTTGGGGGTAAAAGCAATCTTCTCAGGGCTGGCTAAAGTTTGTGATATACAATCACTGGAATTCATGGAGTTGTGGACACAGTTGCTCAATTCATCATCCATAACTTGCCAGCTTTGGACTTGAGAAGTGCCACTTGTTATTCTTTCAACCATGAATGTTTCATGTAGTGGTTGATTGGCTTGGAGTGCATTTGAACTACCATTAGGAGAGGTTGTGTTGGCTATATCATATCCAACTTCTGGTGTTAATTCAACATTATAAGCATTATGATCAAATGATACATAAGCAAGATCTTCCTGGTCCCTTGATTTCAATGTAGCTCCTGACTTATTAGGAACATTGACGTGCAGACTATTCAAGAAAGAAGTTTCGATCTGATGAATGATACTCAAATCTTCTGAGACCTTCACACAAAGAAAAAGGGTTAAATGAATGAGCGAGGATGACAAAAATGACATATTAATTAATGGTTATATGAAATTGAAAACTTACCTGTTCAGTAGTACCTAGCTCAATAACCCCTTCCATAAACGGAAAGCACACAACCGTCTGAAAGTTGAGATCAAGGAAACCATTTACAGTGCACTGATTAGATTTTGCTTAATAAATTTGACACAGCAAATTAGGTTTGCTGATCATCGAAGTCTTAGACTTGGAATCCCAGTCCCTTGTGTTGAAGAAAACTAAATGTATGCAACAGATCACAAAATTTTTAAGAGCCTTGCCTTGGTTAGGGGCTTAGGATTATAAGCTCGCATTGCAGAAACTACAGGTCTATTGATATCCTTAGGAACTAAGATGCATACAGTTGCAGTGGTGTTTATAGACCAGACACTATAACTGTTCTAACACATAAATTTCTCTATATCGTCTTTGATGGCACTAAGCTAAACTGTTAATAAAACATAGACGATTAATAGATTCAGTAAAGTAAAACAAGATAGTACCTCAATTGATGCACTCTGAGCAAGAATGAGAGAAGACAATTGTCACAGGTTTGTTTATGGAACAAAAAAAACAAAGAAAGAAGACACTTCAGATTCTCTGTCATCTTAAGCATGGTAGTAGAGAGCTAGAGTATAATAATTCGAGATTTTAACCAAAAGCAGAAGAAAGAACAAGCCAAGTCAAGAAACAGAATCCACCTTTGCCAGCAGAGAACGACTAAAAACTCTACAATCAGCTGAATGGGCACTGTTCAGCCAAATTGGTTGACCCTTTGCTAGAGTTCTTCCTGGTAACCTACCAACATACATAGATTTGAGATACCTAAGACTCACCCTTAAGATTACACAACACCCCATTTTTGGAACACAACTTGAAAAAGAAAAAAAAAATGGAGGAGAATTATTATTTACCCTTGGCCAATGTTGAATATGAAGGACATGCAAACCAAGTAGTACCACTCAGCATCTGTGAGATCTTCTGGGGACAGTGCTGCTGAAGGCCTTTTGGTTTGAGGGCTGATTTCTGCAGTTTTGAGGGACTTGAATAGCTCTCTCAGCTGCTCACTCCTCTGCAACCCTATTTGGTCAGAATTAAGTTCTACTCCTTGACTTGTTTTCCTTGTCTTAATGTCTCCATTGTAATACCCTTCCCCCCAGCTCAACATCCTGTAAGAAAACAAAAAATTTAACGCAACTCAATAACAACCTCATAAGCAGTAACACAAGAAAATGCAACAGTAGATTCAGAATTTCAAATTGTTAGGTTAGAATTGTTTGATTTATTCTCTTGATTTAACATAAACCAAAGTACACTAGAAAAAGATGCATCATTTTGGTTCAATCAAACCTAACTGGTACAGATGGCAAATTGTGTATGTCTCATCTCATCTAATATAAAGTCTTCTCATGTATTAGAGAAAAAAACATATTCAAGAAGGGGAAAGTGCAAAGTCAAACAATTGAAAATAGAGAATAGAGGTAGCTAATATGGATGGAACAGTTGGTATACCCTGGTTGGGTAGTTGAATCAGTCCAGAAGATTGCATAGCTCCAATGGATGCTTCTCACAGCCAAAGCAAGTTGTTTCTTCATGTTGTCTGGAACCATTTTCTTGCTTTGCAGGGTAGCCACAGCTTATCACATAGATCAAAATTTCAGAATAAAGACAACACAGCACAAGCCAGCACTGTGTTGTGTTATTTGAACAGATGAGAAAGGAAAAGCAAACCTGTTAGTTGAACATGTCTATCTCTCTCTCTCTCTCTCTGATTCGTGTATCTTGATTTATTTACTCCCTGGCCATGACCCTTGTTTTGTTTCCATGATTGTATAGAGTTTTTTTTGTCATAATAATGAACTACATAACATAAAAACAAAACCAACCAAGGTGTATTAAAAAGTTGGTATGGTCCAAAAGCAGGTTTTGTTTCAATAGCTAGAAGTAGATTCGGTATCCAAAACAACTGTAGCTCAAAAAACGCATTCTAGCAGTAGATTTTGACTTGAGAGACGATGGCAATATTGCTTGTCTCGTACTAATGGGGTAGTGCTTATATGCTATTATTATTATGCAGAAAAATAAGCCAAGGAAGCCAGAGTTAGAGTTATCATCACTGAATTAGAAAACGTAGCCCACGTTGATTATTTTATTATTCTGATTCCTACCTACTACTTTTAAGAAAAGAGGTAGACACAAATTTCGAGACTGCAGGGAAAAGTGTACTGTGTGTATTGTCCAACGTAATTTCTATATAAACGTAGATACATTTTGTGTTCGTATATTAATATTATGCGAACATGTGTGTATAAGGCAAGGATTCATAGATCCAACACAATTTCTAAAGAAAAAATAAATGACTTTGCAACTCTGAAGTCTGAACAATAATCAACCCATTTTCTCTTTAAAAAAGTTTAGATTAACGAAAAGGTCAATAAAATTTGAAAACAACATTAAATTTACCAAAAATATTATCCATTATTTACACGTTACTTGCTAAAAAGAATTGATAATCGATTTACTATATGTGAAAAACTGAACCATATGTGTCATCCCTTTTGACTAATGATCGAGCGATTGGTTATAAAACTTCATTTATTAACTTATAAAGAGAAACTTTAATTTGAATTGAAATCTATACAGAAATACTTAAAAACAATACTGCTGAGAGTAAGAGGGATAAAAATTAGAAGGACACCTGTAAATTATGACTTAACTACACAATTAAATTTCACAACACATTTTAACTCAGAATCTCATGTAATATTTTCATGCAGTGAAATCTTAGCTCTTTGTTAAAAATAAGAGAAATAAAATTTAAATATTAAAAAATAAAATATATAAAATTTATATGGTGAAGATTTTCACATGAGAGGATCTATTATCATTTTTTTTCATTTATATATATGTTACGCAATTACTTATCTAATTCACATTTAACATCATTAAATATACTTAGTTTTAGTCGATGAATATTTTATATTAATAAATTAATATAAAAAAAGCACTTAATTTTTGTTTTTGCATGATAATAGAAATGTATAAATATCCCGAGGAAGCGAAACATTTTGCAAATAATGATTAAGGCAAAGAGAAGAAGGATAAACCTGGGAAGTTGCATCAATCTCTTTCTCTCGCACCTTTGACAAACTGGGAGATGATAAGTTGTTTTCCGCATATATGTCGCATGCTTAACCTTAATGTGTCTGAACTTTAGATAAATTTTTATTTTATCTTACAAAATCATGGTGATATTATGATAAAGTAGAATAATTATTTGTTATTTGAGCTTACAAAATTTAAATAAACTATTAATTGGTATGGATTACTATTTAGAAGAGAGAAAAAAAAAAGAATATCATGCTTAACTTATTTAAACTGATTTTTAAGTATACAAGATCTGACTCATAAGTTTTGGTGTAAATTACAAAAGAGAGAGAAACATTTAATATAAAAATATGAAATTATGTACAAAATATTATTCAAATTGTTTTGGAATGCATGAAATTAAATTGCTGATCAGTATATACAAGGATATGAAAAGGATTAAACATGTTTTTAATTTTAAAATTTTTGTAAATTTTTTACTTTTAGTCTTTAAATAAATTTTATTTAATTTTAATTTCCAAAATTTTCTTCATAAACAACAAATATTTAAGTCAAGGACCAAAATGTTAGTAAGAGAAAAAATGCACGGACTAAAATTGAAAACTGACAAAAGTTCAAAAACTAAAATTTATAATAATTTTTTTAAAAACTAAAAGTATAAGTTAATAAAATTTTAATGGCTAATAATACATTTAATCTATATTTAATAAAACTAAAACTGATTTTTATACATTAGAAAATACAAAGTCCAAAAATTAATAAAATGATAAACAGGTAACGTCGCTAATATAAGCATACTATATTTTCAATTAAATTTGATTATTAACATTGAAAGTATAAATAAGGAGAAATGTTGAAACCGGTTCTTATTTACTAGAATAAAGTATAATTAGTCATTTAAAAAAAAATATATGTCGAGACCGATTCTTATTTACTAAAAATACGTGCGCAATATACATTCTTCTAAAAGTATAAAACATATTTCATTTGTAGAGAAATTAATTTAATAAAATTAAAAATTAAAAACGAATTTCAAATATTTTCGAAGAAATAAAAGCAAATATTTTTTAAGGAAGAGTTGCAAGTTTAGTAATAGGCAATATAGGGTTTTCACATAAGAAATAACAAAAAGAACGGAGACATCACTTTCGCGTGCCAATTTAACATTATTCAATTTTCAATCCATTCAAATCAATATTACTACAATTAATGTTTGACAAATCATACACGTGTGCCACATTGCTACTACTACAATTAATTCTTTCGAGGCAATTTTCAATTAAAAGAAAAAGAATTACATATATTAGAAGAATTAGATTTACATTAAATTTTATTAATTTTATAATATTTTTTCTAAATTAATCGGATAACAAATGTTAAAAAAATTAATATAACTAAAAAATTATATATTAAAAAATGTATTTTAGAGAATATATTATTAATATAACTGAAAAATTATATATTAAAAATATATATATATTAGAGATGATATTATTAAATGAGATAAAATTAATTAAAATTTATTTATATTTAAAAAGTATATGTATTTTTTATTTATAATAAATAATATATATTTATATTTATACAATTATGACTAGTGCATTATTTATATTTATATCACATCATTTATTAAATGCATTTTTTATTTTATTTTTTCTTCTTTTTCTTCCTGCCATTCTTTTAATAATATATATTTATATTTATCTTATTTTATTTTATACTCAAATACGAAATGCATAGAAATTAAACACAAACAACATCTCTTTTTTTTTTCTTCGAAAAGAATATGCATTCAACAAAGATAGGTGAAATTTCAACGCATTTGAAAAAAGTTAATTGAACACGTGCATAAGTTTGGTGAGGTCTTAATTATTTTCTGATTAAATAAATTTATTTGAGATGTATATTAAAACAAGGAGACATTTTATATATCTCTTAATGATAAGTTAACTATCTAACTTATTGCTTGTAAGAAAAAAGCTAACTAACTTATTAAACACATAACCTTTTTAATAATACGTTTTAAATTTAAATTTTATTATCTCTTTTTTATTGTGGGAATTCTTTAATCCATTGGATTATAAATTTTATTGTCTTTGTTTGAGTCTATTGTATGTCAAAAAATATTTAATCAACTTTAAAAAAAAAAAAATATATATATATATATATATATATATAATAATTTAAAAAGTAAACTATAAATCTTACTCATTCATGAAATTAATCTACTAATTATCCTTAAGAAATTACACAATCTTTCTAGTAATTAGTTAAAGGTGGTAGTTCTTAACTTCATACTTCACTTTATATTGACTAAGATTATAAAGGATATTTAACAAAATTCACTCTAATTTCACACATACTCAATGAGGGTTTCGACAATTGGCCACCTAAAACGTCTGAATAATATTTTATATTTGGAATCTTCAACTTCCAAACAACACTCTTTCTTATAGTCTTAAGTCAATTAACATACTTTAATGTCTACAACATTCTCAGCATCAATGTCTCAACATACATCATCTATATACATTACCACTCCATGTCAATGCATATAAAGATCAGATTACACCAATCATAACTAGCATGCCAATGTTATACAACTCATCCAAGACAAGCACACCAATATGCTCAACGACTTATTCAACAGTAGTATACCAATGCCTATTCACACTCCAATCATGCAACTTTAGCATATTCTTCACACATAGCATATCAATGTTCACCATCATAATACATCATATATCACATCTACATATATTGTCACAAATTAATATATATATATATATATACAAATATATATATATATATATATATGTTATTTATTTATTTATTAATTAGTAATTCTGGATTTTCATAGTCCTGGAACGGGCCGTTCCACTTTGGGAACGGGCCGTTCC